ATGACGACCAGCTCTGCTGTGTTGTGGCTCTGGTGATGACGCCCAGCTCTGCTGTGTTGAGGCTCTGGTGATGACGCCCAGCTCTGCTGTGTTGTGGCTCTGGTGATGACGCCCAGCTCTGCTGTGTTGAGGCTCTGGTGATGACGCCCAGCTCTGCAGTGTTGAGGCTCTGGTGATGACTCCCAGCTCAGCTGTGTTGAGGCTCTGGTGATGACGCCCAGCTCTGCTGTGTTGAGGCTCTGGTGATGACGCCCAGCTCTGCTGTGTTGAGGCTCTGGTGATGACGCCCAGCTCTGCTGTGTTGTGGCTCTGGTGATGACGCCCAGCTCTGCTGTGTTGTGGCTCTGGTGATGACGCCCAGCCCGGCTGTGTTGAGGCTCTGGTGATGACTCCCAGCCCAGCTGTGTTGAGGCTCTGGTGATGACGCCCAGCCCGGCTGTGTTGAGGCTCTGGTGATGACGCCCAGCCCGGCTGTGTTGAGGCTCTGGTGATGACGCCCAGCCCGGCTGTGTTGAGGCTCTGGTGATGACGCCCAGCCCAGCTGTGTTGAGGCTCTGGTGATGACGCCCAGCCCAGCTGTGTTGAGGCTCTGGTGATGACGCCCAGCCCGGCTGTGTTGAGGCTCTGGTGATGACGCCCAGCCCGGCTGTGTTGAGGCTCTGGTGATGACGCCCAGCTTTGCTGTGTTGAGGCTCTGGTGATGACTCCCAGCCCAGCTGTGTTGAGGCTCTGGTGATGACGCCCAGCCCGGCTGTGTAGAGGCTCTGGTGATGACGCCCAGCCCGGCTGTGTTGAGGCTCTGGTGATGACGCCCAGCCCAGCTGTGTTGAGGCTCTGGTGATGACGCCCAGCCCAGCTGTGTTGAGGCTCTGGTGATGACGCCCAGCCCTGCTGTGTTGAGGCTTTGGTGATGACGCCCAGCCCTGCTGTGTTGAGGCTCTGGTGATGACGCCCAGCCCTGCTGTGTTGAGGCTCTGGTGATGACGCCCAGCCCAGCTGTGTTGAGGCTCTGGTGATGACGCCCAGCCCGGCTGTGTTAAGGCTCTGGTGATGACTCCCAGCCCGGCTGTGTTAAGGCTCTGGTGATGACTCCCAGCCCGGCTGTGTTGAGGCTCTGGTGATGACGCACAGCCCAGCTGTGTTGAGGCTCTGGTGATGACGCCCAGTCCGGCTGTGTTGAGGCTCTGGTGATGACGCCCAGCCCAGCTGTGTTGAGGCTCTGGTGATGACGCCCAGCCCGGCTGTGTTGAGGCTCTGGTGATGACGCCCAGCCCAGCTGTGTTGAGGCTCTGGTGATGACGCCCAGCCCGGCTGTGTTGAGGCTCTGGTGATGACGCCCAGCCCTGCTGTGTTGAGGCTCTGGTGATGACGCCCAGCCCGGCTGTGTTGAGGCTCTGGTGATGACGCCCAGCCCGGCTGTACTCACCTAGTTGTACTCACCTAGTTATGCTTGCGGGGGTGGAGCTCTGGCTCTTTGGTCCCGCCTCTCAACCGTCAATCAACAGGTGTACAGGTTCCTGAGCCTATTGGGCTCTATCATATCTACACTTGAAACTATGTATGGAGTCAGCCTCCACCACATCACTTCCTAATGCATTCCATTTGTCAACCACTCTGACACTAAAAAAGTTCTTTCTAATATCTCTGTGGCTCATTTGGGCACTCAGTTTCCACCTGTGTCCCCTAGTGCGTGTGCCCCTTGTGTTAAACAGCCTGTCTTTATCAACCCTGTCGATTCCCTTGAGAATCTTGAATGTGGTGATCATGTCCCCCCTAACTGTTCTGTCTTCCAACGAAGTGAGGTTCAATTCCCGTAGTCTCTCCTCGTAGCTCATACCTCTCAGCTCGGGTACTAGTCTGGTGGCAAACCTTTGAACCTTTTCCAGTTTAGTCTTATGCTTGACTAGATATGGACTCCATGCTGGAGCCGCATACTCCAGGATTGGTCTGACATATGTGGTATATAATGTTCTGAAAGATTCCTTACACAAGTTTCAACCTGGCTTATGCTGCTGATGTTATCCTCTTGATATGAGCTTCAGGGGACAGGTCTGGCGTGATATCAACCCCCAGGTCTTTCTCTCTCTCTGACTCTTGAAGTATTTCATCTCCCAAGTGATACCTTGTATCTGGTCTCCTGCTTTCTACCCCTACCTTCATTACATTACATTTGCTTGGGTTAAACTCTAACATCCATTTGTTCGACCATTCCTGCACCTTGCCCAGGTCTTCTTGAAGCCTCAAGCTGTCCTCCTCTGTCTTAATCCTTCTCATAATTTTGGCGTCGTCAGCAAACATTGAGAGGAATGAGTCTATACCCTCTGGGAGATCATTTACGTATATCAGAAACAGGATAGGTCCAGGCACAGAGCCCTGTGGGACTCCACTGGTAACTTCACGCCATTCTGAGGTCTCACCCCTCTCTATAACTCTCTGCTTCCTATTGCTTAGGTACTCCCTTATCCACTGGAGCGCCCTACCAGTTACTCCTGCCTGTTTCTCCAGCTTATGCATCAACCTTTTATGGGGTACTGTGTCAAAGGCTTTCCGACAGTCCAAAAAAAATGCAGTCCGCCCATCCTTCTCTTTCTTGCTTAATCTTTGTCACCTGATCATAGAATTCTATCAAGCCTGTAAGGCAAGATTTATCCTCCCTGGAACCCATGTTGATGGGTTGTCACGAAGTCTCTTCTCTCCAGATGTGTTACTAGGTTTTTTCTCACAATCTTCTCCATCACCTTGCATGGTATACAAGTTAAGGACACTGGCCTGTAGTTCAGTGCCTCTTGTCTGTCACCCTTTTTAAATATTGGTACTACATTAGCAGTCTTCCATACTTCTGGTAGGTCTCCCGTTTCCAGTGACCTACTATACACTATGGAGAGTGGCAAGCAAAGTGCTCCTGCACACTCTTTCAATACCCATGGTGAGATTCCATCCGGCCCAACAGCTTTTCTCACATCCTGCTTCTTGACCTCATCTCTTGTAATTTCGAACCTTTCCAAGGTCACCTGGTTTGCTGCCACCTCTCCTAGCGCCGTGACTTCTCCCTGTTCTATTGTAAAGACCTCCTGGAACCTTTTGTTGAGTTCTTCACACACCTCTTTGTCATTCTCTGTGTACCTGTCCTCGCCCACCCTAAGTTTCATCACCTGTTCCTTCACTGTTGTCTTCCTCCTGATGTGACTGTGTAGTAGCTTTGGTTCGGTCTTGGCTTTGTTAGCTATATCATTTTCATACCTTTTCTCAGCTGCTCTTCTCACACTAACATACTCGTTCCTGGTTCTCTGGTATCTCTCTCTACTTTCTGGTGTTCTGTTATTACGGAAGTTCCTCCATGCCCTTTTGTTCAGCTCCTTTGCTTTCATACATTCCCTATTAAACCACGGATTCTTCCTTTGCTTCTCTGTTTTTTCCTGTTGGGCTGGGACAAACCTGCATACAGCCTCCTGACATTTTTGGGTGACATAGTCCATCATGTCTTGTACGGACTTGGTTCCGAGTTCTGTGTCCCAATGTATATCCCATAGGAATTTATTCATCTCCTCATAGTTTCCCTTTCGGTACGCCAGCCCTTTGTTTCCCAGTTCTTTTTTGGGGGTGATAATTCCTAGCTCAACCAGGTACTCAAAGCTGAATACACTATGATCACTCATTCCCAAGGGGGCTTCCAACTTAACTTCCCTTATATCCGACTCATTTAGGGTAAATATCAGATCAAGCAAGGCTGGTTCATCCTCTCCTCTCGTTCTTGTCGGTCCCTTGACGTGTTGACTTGGAAAGTTTCTTGTTGCCACATCCAGCAGCTTAGCTCTCCGTGTGTCTGGGCCTCCATGTGGGTCTCTGTTCCCCCAATCTATCTTTCCATGGTTGAAGTCTCCCATGATTTGTAGCCTGGATCCGTTCCTGCTAGCCACAGAAGCTGCTCTCTCTATTATATTGATGGTGGCCAAGTTGTTTCTATCATATTCCTGTCTGGGTCTTCTGACATTCGGTGGGGGGTTATATATGACTACTACTATAATTTTCTGTCCTCCAGTTGCTATGGTGCCTGATATGTAGTCACTGAAACCTTCACAGTTCTGAATTACCATCTCTTCGAAATTCCAACCTTCTCTTACTAGCATAGCTACACCACCTCCTCCTCTCCCTTCTCTCTCTTTCCTCACTACATAGTAGCCCTGTGGAAACACTGCGTTTGTTATGGTGTTTGTTAGCTTTGTTTCTGTGAGTGCTATTATGTATGGGTTTTCTTCTAGTGCCCATTCTCCGAGTTCACTTGTTTTATTTGTAATTCCATCTATGTTAGTGTACATTGCCTTGAAGCTTACTTTCTTCAGTTCATTTTCTTGTCACTTTCTTGGCGAGCATTCTGCTGGTGTGGGAAGCTGTTCCGTGGGTGACAGGATCTGTGAGGTGGTTTGCAGGGTTTCAGGGGAGTTTGGGGTGAGGGGTGGGGGTTTCATGGAAGGGGGGACAGGTAGGGTGTGGGTTAAGGAGATAGGGGGGACATGGAGGATAAGGGGTGAGGGGGGAGGAGGGATAGGGAGGGTATAGGATGAAGGGGGAAGGGGGGACAGGGGCGGAAAGGTGGGAGGGGGGACATGGACAACAGAGCTGTGTTAAGGCTCTGGTGATGACGCCCAGCCCTGCTGTGTTGAGGCTCTGGTGATGACGCCCAGCCCGGCTGTGTTGAGGCTCTGGTGATGACGCCCAGCCCGGCTGTGTTGAGGCCCGGGTGATGACTCCCAGCCCGGCTGTGTTGAGGCTCTGGTGATGACGCCCAGCCCTGCTGTGTTGAGGCTCTGGTGATGACGCCCAGCCCGGCTGTGTTGAGGCTCTGGTGATGAGGCCCAGCCCGGCTGTGTTGAGGCTCTGGTGATGACGCCCAGCCCGGCTGTGTTGAGGCTCTGGTGATGACGCCCAGCCCGGCTGTGTTGAGGCCCGGGTGATGACTCCCAGCCCGGCTGTGTTGACGCCGAGGGAGCCCTGGTGTTGACGCCGAGGGAGCCCTGATGTTGACGCCCAGGAAGCCTTGGTGTTGACGCCCAGGAAGCTTTGGTGTTGACGCCCAGGAAGCCTTGGTGTTGACGCCCAGGAAGCCTTGGTGTTGACGCCGAGGGAGCCCCGGTGTTGACGCCCAGGAAGCCTTGGTGTTGACGCTCAGGAAGCCTTGGTGTTGACGCCGAGGGAGCCCCGGTGTTGACGCCCAGGAAGCCTTGGTGTTGACGCCGAGGGAGCCCCGGTGTTGACGCCGAGGGAGCCCTGGCGTTGACGTCGAGGGAGCCCTGGCGTTGACGCCGAGGGAGCCCTGGTGTTGACGCCTAGGAAGCCTTGGTGTTGACGCCGAGGGAGCTCTGGTGTTGACGCCCAGGAAGCCTTGGTGTTGACGCCCAGGAAGCCTTGGTGTTGACGCCGAGGGAGCCCTGGTGTTGACGCCGAGGGAGCCTTGGTGTTGACGCCGAGGGAGCCCCGGTGTTGACGCCGAGGGAGCCCTGGTGTTGACGCCGAGGGAGCCCTGGTGTTGACGCCGAGGGAGCCCTGGCGTTGACGCCGAGGGAGCCCTGGTGTTGACGTCGAGGAAGCCTTGGTGTTGACGCCGAGGGAGCTCTGGTGTTGACGCCCAGGAAGCCTTGGTGTTGACGCCCAGGAAGCCTTGGTGTTGTCGCCGAGGGAGCCCCGGTGTTGATGCCCAGGAAGCCTTGGTGTTGACGCCGAGGGAGCCCCGGTGTTGACGCCCAGGAAGCCTTGGTGTTGACGCCGAGGGAGCCCCGGTGTTGACGCCGAGGGAGCCCTGGTGTTGACGCCGAGGGAGCCCTGGCGTTGACGCCGAGGGAGCCCTGGTGTTGACGCCCAGGAAGCCTTGGTGTTGACGCCCAGGAAGCCTTGGTGTTGACGCCGAGGGAGCCTTGGTGTTGACGCCGAGGGAGCCCTGGTGTTGACGCCGAGGGAGCCCTGGCGTTGACGCCGAGGGAGCCCTGGTGTTGACGCCCAGGAAGCCTTGGTGTTGACGCCCAGGAAGCCTTGGTGTTGACGCCCAGGAAGCCCTGGTGTTGACGCCCAGGAAGCCCTGGTGTTGACGCCCAGGGAGCCCCCGTGTTGACGCCGAGGGAGCCCTGGTGTTGACGCCCAGGAAGCCTTGGTGTTGACGCCGAGGGAGCCCTGGTGTTGACGCCCAGGAAGCCTTGGTGTTGACGCCCAGGGAGCCCTGGTGTTGACGCCGAGGGAGCCCTGGTGTTGACGCCCAGGAAGCCTTGGTGTTGACGCCGAGGGAGCCCCGGTGTTGACGCCGAGGGAGCCCTGGTGTTGACGCCGAGGGAGCCCTGGTGTTGACGCCCAGGGAGCCCCCAGAGTTCACAGGAGAGTGAGGAAAGTCTCCGCCACTCGCGTCATCAGTCAGGACAATTACCACCAGGCAGCTAAATTTAAGGCTCAGGGATGAAAGGCGCACGGGTGGGTTAACTGACCCTGGATAATACAGTATTTATGGCTGATTTTGTTGTAGTTTAACAAGTCGCATTACAACATTTTGCCACACCAGCTGTGGTCTTCACAGAGATCTTGTGATAAACCTTTCAGTCTATATACAAATTCTGCTCAAAGCAGTTTCTTTACATCTCACTGATAATTTATTTAATGCAGGTGAGAAGTTCACGTGGTCTTTTTAGGTCAAAAATTCAGGCACGTATTCAGGTCAAATTTGACACGAACTATTTCGCCTTGAGAGTGATATAACACCACAAGTTGTGTGTGCTCGTAGTGTTGTTTGTGCTCTGGTGTTGAGTGTTCTTTGATGTTGGGTGTACTCGGGTGTTGTGTGCTCAGGTGATGTGTGTGCTCTGGTGTTGTGTGTACTCGGGTGATGTGTGTGCTCCTGTGTTGTGTGTGCTCTTGTGTTGTGTACTTGGGTGATGTGTGTGCTCTGGTGTTGTGTGTGCTCTGGTGTTTTGTGTGCTCTGGTGTTGTGTGTGTTCTTGTTTTGTGAGTACTCGGGTGTTGTGTGTGCTCTGGTGTTGTGTGTGCTCTGGTGTTTTGTGTGCTCTGGTGTTGTGTGTGTTCTTGTTTTGTGAGTACTCGGGTGTTGTGTGTGCTCTGGTGATGTGTGTGTGTGCTCTGGTGTTGTGTGTGCTCTGGTGATGTGTGTGTGCTCTGGTGATGTGTGTGCTCTGGTGTGTGTGTGCTCTGGTGTTGTGTGTGCTCTGGTGATGTGTGTGCTCTGGTGTGTGTTTGCTCTGGTGTTGTGTGTGCTCTTGTTTTGTGAGTACTCGGGTGTTGTGTGTGCTCTGGTGTTGTGTGTGCTCTGGTGTTTTGTGTGCTCTGGTGTTGTGTGTGTTCTTGTTTTGTGAGTACTCGGGTGTTGTGTGTGCTCTGGTGATGTGTGTGTGTGGTCTGGTGTTGTGTGTGCTCTGGTGTTGTGTGTGCTCTGGTGTTGTGTGTGCTCTGGTGTTGTGTGTGCTCTGGTGATGTGTGTGCTCTGGTGTTGTGTGTGCTCTGGTGTTGTGTGTGCTCTGGTGTTGTGTGTGCTCTGGTGTTGTGTGTGCTCTGGTGATGTGTGTGCTCTGGTGTTGTGTGTGCTCTGGTGTTGTGTGTGCTCTGGTGATGTGTGTGTGCTCTGGTGTTGTGTGTGCTCTGGTGATGTGTGTGCTCTGGTGATGTGTGTGCTCTGGTGTTGTGTGTGCTCTGGTGTTGTGTGTGCTCTGGTGATGTGTGTGCTCTGGTGTTGTGTGTGCTCTGGTGTTGTGTGTGCTCTGGTGTTGTGTGTACTCGGGTGTTGTGTGTACTCGGGTGTTGTGTGCTCAGGTGATGTGTGTGCTCTGGTGTTGTGTGTGCTCTGGTGATGTGTGTGCTCTGGTGATGTGTGTGCTCTGGTGTTGTGTGTGCTCTGGTGTTGTGTGTGCTCTGGTGTTGTGTGTGCTCTGGTGTTGTGTGTGCTCTGGTGATGTGTGTGCTCTGGTGTTGTGTGTGCTCTGGTGTTGTGTGTGCTCTGGTGATGTGAGTGCTCTGGTGTTGTGTGTGCTCTGGTGATGTGTGTGCTCTGGTGTTGTGTGTGCTCTGGTGTTGTGTGTGCTCTGGTGTTGTGTGTGCTCTGGTGATGTGTGTGTGCTCTGGTTTTGTGTGTGCTCTGGTGTTGTGTGTGTGCTCTGGTGTTGTGTGTGTGCTCTGGTGATGTGTGTGTGCTCTGGTGTTGTGTGTGCTCTGGTGTTGTGTGTGCTCTGGTGATGTGTGTGTGCTCTGGTATTGTGTGTGCTCTGGTGATGTGTGTGCTCTGGTGATATGTGTGCTCTGGTGTTGTGTGTGCTCTGGTGTTGTGTGTGCTCTGGTGGTGTGTGTGCTCTGGTGTTGTGTGTACTCGGGTGTTGTGTGCTCAGGTGATGTGTGTGCTCTGGTGTTGTGTGTGCTCTGGTGTTGTGTGTGCTCTGGTGTTGTGTGTGCTCTGGTGTTGTGTGTGCTCTGGTGTTGTGTGTGCTCTGGTGTTGTGTGTGCTCTGGTGATGTGTGTGCTCTGGTGATGTGTGTGCTCTGGTGTTATGTGTGCTCTGGTGTTGTGTGTACTCGGGTGTTGTGTGCTCAGGTGATGTGTGTGCTCTGGTGTTGTGTGTGCTCTGGTGTTGTGTGTGCTCTGGTGTTGTGTGTGCTCTGGTGTTGTGTGTGCTCTGGTGTTGTGTGTGCTCTGGTGTTGTGTGTGCTCTGGTGATGTGTGTGCTCTGGTGATGTGTGTGCTCTGGTGTTGTGTGTGCTCTGGTGTTGTGTGTGCTCTGGTGTTGTGTGTGCTCTGGTGTTGTGTGTGCTCTGGTGATGTGTGTGCTCTGGTGTTGTGTGTGTGCTCTGGTGATGTGTGTGTGCTCTGGTGTTGTGTGTGCTCTGGTGTTGTGTGTGCTCTGGTGTTGTGTGTGCTCTGGTGTTGTGTGTGCTCTGGTGTTGTGTGTGCTCTGGTGATGTGTGTGCTCTGGTGTTGTGTGTGTTCTTGTTTTGTGAGTACTCGGGTGTTGTGTGTGCTCTGGTGATGTGTGTGTGCTCTGGTGTTGTGTGTGCTCTGGTGATGTGTGTGCTCTGGTGATGTGTGTGCTCTGGTTTTGTGTGTGCTCTGATGTTGTGTGTGCTCCGGTGTTGTGTGTGCTCTGGTGTTGTGTGTGCTCTGGTGTTGTGTGTGCTCTGGTGTTGTGTGTGCTCTGGTGTTGTGTGTGCTCTGGTGTTGTGTGTGCTCTGGTGATGTGTGTGCTCTGGTGTTGTGTGTGTGCTCTGGTGATGTGTGTGCTCTGGTGATGTGTGTGCTCTGGTGTTGTGTGTGCTCTGGTGATGTGTGTGCTCTGATGTTGTGTGTGCTCTGGTAATGTGTGTGTGCTCTGGTGTTGTGTGTGTGCTCTGGTGATGTTGTGTGTGCTCTGGTGATGTGTGTGCTCTGATGTTGTGTGTGCTCTGGTGTTGTGTGTGCTCTGGTGTTGTGTGTGTGCTCTGGTGATGTGTGTGCTCTGGTGTTGTGTGTGTGCTCTGGTGTTGTGTGTGTGCTCTGGTGTTGTGTGTGTGCTCTGGTGTTGTTGTGTGTGCTCCGGTGTTGTGTGTGCTCCGGTGTTGTGTGTGCTCTGGTGTTGTGTGTGCTCTGGTGTTGTGTGTGCTCTGGTGATGTGTGTGCTCTGGTGTTGTGTGTGCTCTGGTGATGTGTGTGCTCTGGTGTTGTGTGTGCTCTGGTGATGTGTGTGCTCTGGTGATGTGTGTGTGCTCTGGTGATGTGTGTGATCTGGTGATGTATGTGCTCTGGTGATGTGTGTGCTCTGGTGATGTGTGTGTGCTCCGGTGTTGTGTGTGCTCTGGTGTTGTGTGTGCTCTGGTGTTGTGTGTGCTCTGGTGATGTGTGTGGTCTGGTGTTGTGTGTGCTCTGGTGTTGTGTGTGCTCTGGTGTTGTGTGTGCTCTGGTGTTGTGTGTGCTCTGGTGATGTGTGAGTGCTCTGGTGATGTATGTGCTCTGGTGATGTGTGTGCTCTGGTGATGTGTGTGCTCTGGTGTTGTGTGTGCTCTGGTGTTGTGTGTGCTCTGGTGGTGTGTGTGCCCTGGTGATGTGTGTGCTCTGGTGTTGTGTGTGCTCTGGTGATGTGTGTGCTCTGGTGTTGTGTGTGTGCTCCGGTGTTGTGTGTGCTCTGGTGTTGTGTGTGCTCTGGTGTTGTGTGTGCTCTGGTGTTGTGTGTGCTCGGGTGATGTGTGTGCTCCGGTGTTGTGTGTGCTCTGGTGTTGTGTGTGCTCTGGTGTTGTGTGTGCTCTGGTGTTGTGTGTGCTCTGGTGATGTGTGTGCTCTGGTGTTGTGTGTGCTCTGGTGTTGTGTGTGCTCTGGTGTTGTGTGTGCTCTGGTGATGTGTGTGCTCTGGTGTTGTGTACTCACCTATTTGTACTCACCTATTTGTGCTTGCAGGATCGAGCATTGACTCTTGGATCCCGCCTTTCTAGCTATCGGTTGTTTACAGCAATGACTCCTGTCCCATTTCCCTATCATACCCAGTTTTAAAAGTATGAATAGTATTTGCTTCCACAACCTGTTCCCCAAGTGCATTCCATTTTTCTACTACTCTCACGCTAAAAGAAAACTTCCTAACATCTCTGTGACTCATCTGAGTTTCCAGTTTCCACCCATGTCCCCTCGTTCTGTTATTATTACGTGTGAACATTTCATCTATTTCCACTTTGTCAATCCCCCTGAGTATTTTATATGTCCCTATCATATCTCCTCTCTCCCTTCTTTTCTCTAGTGTCGTAAGGTTTAGTTTCTTCAGCCGCTCTTCATATCCCATCCCTCGTAACTCTGGGACAAGCCTCGTCGCAAACCTCTGAACCTTCTCCAGTTTCTTTATGTGTTTCTTCAGGTGGGGGCTCCATGATGGCGCGGCATACTCTAAGACGGGTCTCACGTAGGCAGTGTAAAGCGCCCTAAAAGCCTCCTCATTTAGGTTTCTGAATGAAGTTCTAATTTTCGCCAGTGTAGAGTACGCTGCTGTCGTTATCCTATTTATATGTGCCTCAGGAGTTAGATTAGGTGTCACATCCACTCCCAGGTCTCTTTCTCGAATCGTTACAGGTAGGCTGTTCCCCTTCATTGTGTACTGTCCCGTTGGTCTCCTGTCACCTGATCCCATTTCCATAACTTTACATTTACTGGTGTTAAACTCCAGTAGCGATTTCCCTGACCATCTCTGCAGCCTGTTTAAGTCCTCTTGGAGGATCCTACAATCCTCGTCTGTCACAACTCTTCTCATTAATTTTGCGTCATCCGCAAACATTGACATGTATGATTCCACTCCTGTAAACATATCATTTACGTAAATTAGAAAGAGGATTGGTCCCAGCACCGATCCTTGAGGTACTCCACTTGTTACTGTTCGCCAGTCCGACTTTTCGCCCCTTACCATTACCCTCTGGCTCCTTCCTGTTAGGTAGTTCTTCACCCATACTAGGGCCTTTCCGCTTACTCCTGCCTGCCTCTCA